TTTGTGGCAATCCTCATATATATCTACTTTCTTTCATCCATCTGCCCATTTATCCATCCATACAGCTCTCCTGAGCTTCATAACCCCCCTATTTTCAAAATGATTTGAAAGAGTTCATAAAGTACAACAATGTAAAACAAAAATATTAAACTTCAAAAGAAAACAGAGTGGGACTAAAGCAGTTGTTCTCATGTCTGATGTGTCAGAGTTAATAGAAAACTTCTGAAAAATACTGATATTCAGGACTATAAACAGAATTTTCGTTTAAATGGTCTGGAGCTCCCTAGATGATTCTAAAGTGCAGCCAAGGTTGAAAAATGTGTAGAATTGGACAGTCCACTTGATATGAGCTGATTACAAAATTTGAATTCTAAGTATGACTGCGAAGGGATGTATGCTGGGTAAAATATATCTCATTTTCTGACAAAACATTTAATTCTCCAGATTCAGACTCTCAAAGTATTATAATGAGTATGTTCTAGTAATGCAACAATAGCTACCCTTTATTAAGAGCTTACCATGTGCTAAACATTACACCAATTAAAGGAATTACCTTTTCTAAGTCTCACAACATGCCTATGAGGTGAGTATATTATTAACTTCACATTTCAGATAAGGAAACAGGGCTCTTGAGAAGTTAATTTGACAACCTTGCATACAGGTTCTCTAACTCCAGAATCCTGGTCTTAACCACTTCACTCCACCACCTCCAATGTGAATATACTGGGCAATGTTTCCAATTAATGTTTTGCAAAAAACATTGTGTTCAAATGGAGGTTCTTGGAAAATTAAAGTTGAAGAGTTAGCCTTAAATAATTTAACAGAAGCATTTTTGCAATTTGTTGAGGTAATATTTTATTTTCTATTCGTCTAACTGCATACAGGGAGAGACACTGGTTCTGGAGGAGTCATATGTTAACATACCCACCAGATCTTCTAGAGTCTTCTCATAGGAACCTTGGGGAAGTCTGTTCTCCCCTGCAAGGTGAGGGCACAGAGCACCAGTGCAGGGGGTAGAGCTTGAGCGCTGGGCAGACTGTGACGATGCCCACAAGCTTTGTTTTTGGAACCAGGCTTACAAATGGGAAATGGAAGGTAGAGTAACAAGCCAATAAGGACATCTGCTTCAGGTGCTAGGTCCAGACAACAAGAGGAATGTGGGTTAGACTGGACAAGAGCAAATTCATGCACTCAAGGGGAGCATAAACACAATAGGTTGGGTGGTTACAGAACCAACATCATAAACATGGGTGTGCCTTTGGCTGGTGTGTGGGAGGGAGGCAAAGATATTTAAAGAGTGAAAGGTAGGTACTGGGTCACAGGAAACTCATGATTATTTTATTAATGAAGGTTTCAAGTGGAAATACTTCATGTGGTTGAGTGAAGACAGAACTGTAGGATTTACATCCTACCTGAGTATAGGTACCTAGAATACTACCTCCAATATTGCGTTTTTTTCAACTCTAATCAACACTACCCCCCAAAATGGGTCTTAAACACTCTTTTATCATATGTTAGCTCACAAACTATAAAAGACACTCTACTTCCTACTTTGGTCTAACTACCATTTGGGCTCCATTTTACCTTTTCAAGTTGGTTCCTCCAACTTTTCAACATCTTCCGATCACCTACATCAGATTGACTCACTGTTCCATAAATAACGACTTGGATTAAGTCTCAGAATCCAAAATCATGTTGATGCATTTTTTCTCATAATGACAACACTGATAATACAGCCTCATGGTAATGTGGTGTAATGGAGTCCAAAAGGTCTGAGTTTGAATGCCAGCTCTGTTGTATATTAACTGTGTGACCCTGGGCAAGGCACTGTGAGCTACCATTTCCTCATTGTAAAATAAACGCTATCACAAGGACATTGAGTGGTTGTGGTGAATAAGTTACACACCAAAAGGACAAGATCTAACATAGTAAATGGTTATAACAGGTATTCACTAAATGGATTTTATTACAGAAGGGCAATCTCCACCACTTTTCATTCTAAACTGACTTCCCATTTTCTTCTTTATCTGGATCACAAAGATAATTTTAAGTTTTCTTTAACTCAAAGGTTAAAGATTTTCTGATAATGAAGCTATGGAAACAACCCAAAAATCCAAAAATAGATGACTGAATCAAGATGATGTGGTACATAGACACAATGGAACATTATTCAGCAATCAGAAAAGATAAAGTAATGACATTTGCAGGAATACAGATGGAGCTGGAAGTGATCATGCTCAGTGAAATAAGTCAGAAAGAAAAAGAAAAATAGCAGATGGTTTCACTTATAGGAGGAATGTAGAGGATCCAAATAAGGGATCAGGAAAAAAAAGTAATTGTAATAAAGTAAAAATCAAAATCAACAGGCAACTATAAACCAGAGATATTCTGCAGGGGGGAGAAGGGAGTAGGATCAAAACAGGGGTGGGAAGAGCACAAGGGACTATGGTGATGGTTCACGAGTGAATGGGTGGTAGGAATTTCACAGGGACTATAACCAAGATGAAAATGCATACATTGTTAAAAAATGGAAAAGTGATGTAAAATATATAAAATAAAATAAAAATAAATAATAAAAACAAAAAGATTTTCTGATAATGAGAAGTTGGTAGACATCCTATTTTTTAAAAAGATTTATTTATTTATTTGTTTGTTTGTTTGTTTATTTGTTTATTTATTTATACAAGCACTGGGTACAGTCAGAAGCGCGAGAGGGTGAGAGAATTCACCAGAGCCAGAGCGGGGAGCAGAGCAGGCAGAAGGACTGAAGTACACTGCTGAGGGGAGCAGCGGGTGGCAGGAGAGGTCTGCGCGCCATGCGGGACCCTCCTCCGGTGGCCTGGGAGCAGCTGGGGATCGAACCGGTGCTGCAGAGGCTGCGGGCAGCTTCGCAACCCAGCGCTCAACTGCTGCGCCACCGGGGAGGCCCGGTAGACATCCTATTAACATGGAATTTTTTTATTTTTTGGTTATTATCTGGATCATAAGAAACAATGATAAAATAAGATAAATTACTCTTCACTTTGGGCTGGAAATCAGGAGAGGATGAGAAAAACAGGTAGACAGTGTCCTCATAATGCTTGTGGAAATAAGTCAAGGAAGCACTTCTCTCTTTGTCCCACTAGGTGACAGTGAAAGCAAGCTGCAACCTAAATTTCCCCCCCAAAACCTCCAGATTCTTGTGTCACAAGGATGAGATGCTGACCATTGTCCATTCCCTTCCCCCTTTCTTGTTCCTTTATAACTCTGGATAAATACCCCTGCACTATGCCAAAGAGCAGGATGGTGATCTTAAAGACATGTATCTGCAGCCCTTCTCCATTTGTAAACAAACTGCTTTCCTTCTCAAACTCTGTTTCCTTTCATTGGCTAAGGGAAGGGAGACAGACTGGTATTTGGTAATAGGCACATGACCTGCTAACCTTACTTAACAACATGACAGGGTCTTGTTGTTAAGCCCCAACTACGGGATTCTTGCCTTGATCAGCAAGGGTGCTTCAGAAGCAAGCTCTGAGCCCCTGCAGCGCAAGCCATGGCACTCCATCACTTGACTGTTGCAGGAGGGTGTGGTTGAAAGGAAACCACTGTGAATTAATCAGGACTGAGACTATCAAGACAGAACTTTATTTGGCTCAGCAACAGAGTGATGAAATGACATTCTTCTCTACTTAAATTCCATCTCATCTTCTTGTCTGTGCACTCGGGGCTGCTGAGAGGGGCTGGTGGGGTTACTGTGCCTGCTGTGGGGGCGCTGCCTCACTCTCAGGAGCTGCACCAGCCCCTGCCTCCCGAGGATGGACCCGGTACTCACAGGACTTTAGGAGCCCCTGCAAATATAGCAGAACTCTGTTAATCTGATGTTAGCATTCAATAAAAGAAAAATGAAGCTGACAAGATGAGCCTTTTTTTCCTGATATCATTGATTCTTTATTTACAAATACAGATAATATTTGGAAAGATTTTAAACTCAGGCTCAGAACCTTGCCAATAAAGTGAATTGGCAGTGGTGCACACATGCGCAGGTGAATGTAGCTTCTAAAGCCCTATTTTGTTTCTCAAGGCAAAATCACAGCATAAGTCATAAAATGTACGTCTCCTTCTCATGATAAGGCAATGAAATTTTCTCTTTTGCAAAAATCAGCTCTTCATTGTAGTAGCAAAAAGATGATGTGATTATAAAGTAAGGCCATAGAGGCATTTCCTCATTTTGTTTCTTCATTTTGTCCTGGAATAATTTGTATCACATCTTGTGATATTCCTTTATTATTAAAAAAGGGGAGTTTCTTAGCAAGCCTGCCTCTGTATTTCTTCTTCTGTTTTCCGTTATTTTTCATTAAACTTAAATCTGTTGAAAATGAAGGATTACTCAATCTAGCCTCAGCAACAAACAGAAAACTCTTTTTTGAGCCTATTGCAAAGAATAGTTAATGAAGTTAATGAATAAACAGAAACTGTTGACTTATGAGAAACACTCTTATGGAGAAAGAGGATTTTTAGCTTTGTGAAGTGGGAGTAATTATATGGTATAGTATAGCCCATATTATAAACAGATGACAATTCATTGACTTTCCACTTTCCTCCCTCTGACCAGTCTGTCTTTCTTTCTATTGTTCTTCTTTGACCTTTGGAGATTATTATTATTTGCCCCATTAAGTTCACCATTCGATCTCTTGACTTTCTTTATTTTCTCATGGATTCAGGAACCATATGCCAGTTTATTTAGATTGTCAAAATCAGTTACACTTGTTTTAAGGTATAGATTTGTTATCAGAAAAGCAAATTATTTTGTTCATTTTCTGTGCCAGTTAGGAAAACTTGTGAGGCAGACTCAGAAAGGATTTAGATTCTTTTTAGTTTTACGTTGTCCATAGAGATTGACGGTGTTGGCATTGAGAGGATCACTACTTTCCTCTAGGCTCTTCTGAAGTTTTATGTGGTTTGGGACATGATATCAGGATATTGGGACAGTGGGGGAAGAGGGTGATAAAGTGCTAAAGAAATAACCAGGGCAGCATTACTTATACAACGCATCAGAAAGATCAAAATCATGAAATTCTTTCATTTCCACAGCTGGATTCATTTCATTAACTGGCTCCCAGGGGCGCCCGGGACATTTGGGAGAAGTTGTTTCTGGAAAATCAGGTATCAGGCTAAAGGAAAAGCTATCTGGTTCTACCTGGATGTTAGGGATCCAATCATCATCACTCTCTGTGGGAGCTGGTGATGGATTAGGCATCACCGCTGCAAAGAGATCTGAGTCCTGAAAGTCAGCAAAGGTGACTGTTACCTCTGGCTGGGCTAAAGAAGGAGTGGGCGTTGGCCCTTCTGTCTTCGTTTGTGTCTGTGTAGAAGGTGTAGTGCTGTCTTCAGAAGAGATTGCCAAATGCTCTGTTTTCCTTCCTTTGTGCTTTCCATTGCTTTTGTTTTTATTTTTGTGTTTTCCATGGCCATGACCATGCTCATGTTTATGCCCATGGGCGTGGCCATGACCCCTTTGATGTCCATGGCCAAATCCATGTCTCCTTTGGGATTCAAGATCATAGTCAAGTTCCCGTTGATGTCCAACACCAAAGCCATGTCCCCTTATGTGTCCATGGCCTTGGCCATGCTCATGTTTATGGCCATGACCAAGGCCATGTTTTATTTGTTTTTTATGGGCCCTGCCATGCCCATGAGTGTGTTCTTGGCTTTTTTCTGAATACTGTTCTTCATCTTGTACAGGTATCATGGAAGTGTGTGGTGAACTTACAGTTGTTTCTTCTATTCCATCCATCATTGCTGATCGGAAAGGTGAAAAACCTGGAGGCCTTTTCCTCATCATAATCTAAACAGAAATATTAAGATGAATGCATTACTCTGAAAAGCACACTGTCAATGAAGAAAGAAGAGACAGAGACCAGGCAAGGCTAACTCAGTTACAGGGTGCTTGTCTTTGCCAGATTTTAAATACTATATTTTTATTCTGGAAAGTATGGGAATGAATAATATCCTTTCCTTTTTTGATTAACTATAATTTTTAGACATTAATTATTGTTTTTAATAATATACTAAAGCAAGCTGGGAAGTCTTTATTTCATCTGGAAAAAATATATAATATCAGGGTAACTTCCAAGCTTCTGATTATATAAATCTGTAACACATTATTAATTGATACAATTTCTATTACCAAAATTACTGCTTTCATCCTGAAAAGCTCTAACTGGCTCCATGAGTTGAACATATAGGCTTAACATATCCAGAAATACTTTCTTGGGGAGAACACTTCAAGACACGTCCATGTAGTCTTTGGGCTATATTGCTTGCCATGCAGTCTTTGGACTATATTGCTTGTGTTAGACTATGTATAACCAACGCAGAGCAAAAAAACCTAAATCAGCAAAAAGTAAAAAGAGGCAATTTGTAATGAAGATATGGATTTGTGGATTATTTATCCTTATACTGTTACTACCTGTGTGGTGGTTAAGGCAGGATTCAGTGGTATAAAGAGCACAGTTTTTGGAGTCTTGGCAAACAGGGTGGAGCCTGGTTTGATCTGGATTTGAACCAAGCACCACTTTTTCCAACTGCACACTAAAAATAACAGCATCTTTCTTGTAGGGTTCAGGAGGAAAATGCATTTGAATTCCTCAGTGCAGAGCGTAGGACTGAGGATGCACTTGGTAATGTTATTATTTACTCTAGGAGCATAGATCTTTCTAATTTTTAGTGTCTTATCTTGAGAATGGGGAAAATACTACTCACCTCCCAGAATTCTATTAAGAATTTTAAAAAATAATGAAAACTTATGCTTTTTATACTTGAATATGGGTATGATTCCCTGGGGATGGTGTCAAAATGCAGGTTTTGACTCAGAAGATGCAGCTTGGGGGCTGAGATCTGCATTTCTCCCAAGATCCTGAGCTCTAAACAGAGGGCAGTAGAGTCCTGTTCCTCATCTCAGACACCCCAGGAAGGTGTGCAGCTAGTGTTAGCACTCCACAGCAGGGTCTGCACAGTATGAGGAGAGAATCTATCTCTCCCTGGACACTGGCAATGTGCGTTAAGATGAAATTAGTGTTAAGAGGTAATTAGATGAAACTAGTAATTAGATGAAACTAGTATTAAGAGGACTGCTGTTCTCATTTCCAGCCACAAAAGAGAGTAAACAGAGAAACATGAGATTTCTTCCCATTGGTAAAAAATAGTGACCCAATTCATTTCATTAATAGTTCATGTTAAACCCTGAATATCACTTTTCGAATGAGCCAAGTTGACTCCAAGCTGACTATAATCAGAATCATACCATTGTTTTTGGTTTACAGTTGACAGTCAGTTCAATTTTGTTCATCCAAGCATTACAGATTAGAGCTTTCTATCAAGAGAACAGAAGCCAAAAGAGAAAACACTGTTATTCATGAGATACTTAACCAAGTTTGAAACATCAAATAAGCTTCCAGGAAATAAGTAGACAATTGCATTACTGCTTACCCCTGGTTCTTTGGTCTCGCAACTAATAGAGAACTCTATATTACTTTCCTTGGAACATGTGGTTTCCCTGGCTGTGAATTCTATATAGTATTTCTTTCCATCCACCACCTGGAAAATTAATTAGAATAAAGTAGGTATACAGCCTAAATAAAATTGTATCCAATATCTGCTTCTACTCTAAGGACAAAAAGAGAGAACACTGACATTTTGATTACATGCTAATTAGGAGCTATAACAAATCATTCAAATGTCTGACAGCAAAACTTCTGGCTTATATGCATGTGTGAAATATTTTACTATTGGCTGGTCCTATTTCTTTTCCTAATGGGAAAAGAAGAGCAGGATGTAATGTTTATAATTTTCTGAGTTTCATTGTTCAACAACTACAAAATTCACGGGTAATTCAAGGTTCAAGTTGTACTGGAATCTAAAAGGAGTAGGAAGAAAAACTTAAAACATTTTCTCTATACATGACTTGTCTTGCTAAATCTTGAAACAGAAAAACAGTCTCACTATGGATATTATGTTAATTAAATGACATGATTAGGAAAACTCTTTGGGTTTTCAGTTTTGCTTCTCTTAATTTAAAAAAAAATGTATTTATTTGTGAATACAAGAACTGGGGTACAGGCCAGAGGTGCAGGGGGTAAGAGGATTCACCAGAGACAGAGTGGGGAACAGAATAGGCAGACTGAAAATACATTGCTGAGGGGAACAGCAGGTGAGACAGGAGAGGTCTGTTGCACCATGTGGTAGCTCCATGGCTGGGTGGAGCAGGGGGGCGGATAGAACTGGTACTATAGAGGCTGTGGACAGCTTCACAGTACTATGTTTAACCCCAGGTGCCACCAGGGAGGCCCTGTTAATTTTTTTATATTAGAAAACTATTTTCATTGCCAGTGATAGTTTAAATCATGATACAATGCTGTTTTCCATTAAGCAATTTGTGGTTCAAGTCCTTTTCTTCTTTTCTGGAGGGTTGTAAAGAAGCACACAATTTATTTATTGTAAAAATTAAACTCATTGTGTTTTATAAAATACTCTGATTTCAACAAAATCACAATTGTGATATTTTCAACATTTATTAATGCTATTCCTATATCTCTTACATACTTGAAAAAGGCACTTGATATAATGTTTTGAAATTATTTTAAAAAGTTAGCTGACATTACCCAATTCTACACCAAGTTATTGAGCACTTAATCCAGGATTTAAGTGTGTGTGTGTGTGTGTGTGTGTGTGTGTAAGAGAGAGAGAGAGATTATGCAGCTTCATAAAGGAATAATCACAGGGATCTGTGACCTTGAGGGATGATCATTATTGAAAAATGATCTGTAGAGTGAAGTTAGTGTAGAGTACAATCCCACTTTTTTTGTTAAGGCAAACCACAACATCTTCCCTATCTCTTTAATTTTTCTCTTTATGTTGATTTAGCAACTGAAGGTAAGTCATTTTCCTCAATACACAACATTACCTATTGTTGTTCATCATTAGCATAAACAAACACACATATTCTATAATGTTAACTAGTTAATTTGCAATGACAGATATAACTTCTAAGAGGACTAGATAGTCATGCTTGAGAATAGCTGGTTCTCTCAAGACTAAAACACTGACATTCAATATATGGCATAGTTTTGGACTGTTCTGTCATCACTAAGAATAAAGGAATTTCACAAGAAAGCAGAAATACAAAGTGAGAACAAGTAGAATGACAAATAAAAGAGTAGCATGGTTTGGGATCCCCTTCAAGGAAACTTTATGTAGGTCATATGCCAGTGAAATCAGGAAGAGGGTTGTGTCCAGGACAGAAATTAAGTGCCTGAGAAGTAGAGAGATTAAAGTGTCAGTTTTTGATTTATTTTAACACAGTTTGATTATTTCCCCAGGAAATTAGAAAGATGAAGGACACTGCTGAGGGGAGCAGCCGGCAACAGGAGAAGTCTGCGCGCCATGTGGGACCCTCACCCAATGGCCGGGGATCAAACTGCTGCGCCACTGGGGAGGCCCAAGCATGAACTTTTCTTAGTAAGACTTTTTGTCCAGATTATAAAGATAATGTTGGCTTGGTCTGACAGTTGGTTCTATTTTGATTATTTTTTTTAAAGCCTGTGTTTAAGGAAACCAGTTTTGAGGTTCTGTAATAATAATATGCCACAATTACATTAGGCTGTTGGAGCTGGAAGGGATTTTTTTTTTAAGATTTATTTATGCATAAAAAAGAGCTGGGGTACAGGCCAGAGATGTGGTGGGTGAAAGGAACCACCAGAGACAGAGTAGGGAACAGAACAGGCAGATTGACTGAAATACATTGCTGAGGGGAGCAGCAGTGGAGACAGGAGAGGTATGCCTCGCCATGTGGGTTTCTGCCTGGCCGTCCAGGGATGGAACTCGTGCTGCAGAGGCTGTGGATTGCTTCATGGTGCGGTGCTTAAGATCTTGCGCCACCAGGGAGGCCCTGGAGCTGGAAGGGATTTGGGCTCCACTCAACCAGCTACTTCTGCTAGAGATGGGGCCAAAAAGACCGCATGAGCCTGAAGGACAGTCCAGGGGCATCCAGGACGTGAGTGGTTGGATAAGTGATAGAGCTGGGTGTCCTGAGCCCCAGACCAGGGCTCACCTTATCCTCTGCTGACAGGTGTGGAAGACAGAGGACACCCCAGTGGTTACCCCAGACAGGGAGATTGGGGAAAAATGACTTGGATATGAAAATGTGAAGAGTCTGGGTAATAGCAACTCACTGTTGTGACTGAGCTCAAAGAACTAAGTATGTTACAATGAGAGATGAAATTAGAAAGGCATAAAATAAGTCTTCCCTTTCTTAGCCCTGAATTTGATTAATCATGTAACAGCTACTAGTATTTATATAGCACCTGAGAGTTTAAAAAGTGATGACCACACATCCCCTTATTTGATCATCACTGCAGACTTTACAGATAGAAAATGGAGAGACTATTCTGAGTGACTTGTTCAGGATCACACACTAAGCTTGCAGCGAGGTTATTATGTGAACTTCATATCTTTCAAATTTCATTCATCTGCTATATTATTTCCCAATCCAGAACCAAGATCTTGGTACAATCAGTAAGCAGTTTGCACCCAGGCTGCAAGATAACTATATTTGTAGCATAATTTACAGACCTGAACTGTGGCTTTTTTCACATTGTCAATCTTGAAATAGAAAGTTCCATTATTTTCTGCATTCAGCTTTTTGACAGAATGATTCAGAACCTCTTTCAATTCTGGACTGTCGACAGGGATCTCTTTGGGACAGTCTGCGCACTTTGTGGGAGTAATCTTCACCGCTGAAAGAATCAGGTTTTAAGGAAGTGTGTACAGAGAAGGAGCAATCTAGCCTTGCACCTGTCTCATTCATGATCCAGTATCCATTTACAGAGGGTCGTGTGGCTGCCCAAGGGGTGAGTAGGTGGAGGCTGACTTTCTGGCCTTTGCCTGCTGCCTTTCCTCTTACTTCTCTCCTCTGACCCCAGGGTATTTAGGGAATCAGCCAATCAGAAGGTCTTAATGCCTCAACCAAAATGGTGTGCTTTTCATAACTTATGTATTTTTGTTGGAGACTGTCAAAGGCAATTAATTCTTAACTTAAAGGGATCACTCTCTAATGGGAAAATTTTAAGTCCTTTGTTCCCGGTGAGCTGGCAGCTTCAGGAATGCTACTTACTGTGGAGTCCATACAACTATCTTGCAGGTGGGATAAAAGCCAGCTCTTGGTATAGAAATACTGACTTGATCATAAACTCAACCATTTTCCTGATTATAACATGGAGAGAGAGGAAAGAAAAACTTTAATTGAGAGGATTTTATTCTGAGCAGTTAAAAATGTGGTCAGCTTTACCTAACTGAATATCCCAGGGCTTAGGGACATCTCGTAACAAGGAGGCCCAGCAGGCTCAGAGAACAGAAAGTTCCCCTGTGGCACAATATCCCTTGTGGACCCCTGGGCGAGCACTCTCAGTTCCACCTGCTGCCACACAGCAGGGCAGAGATGGGGTTCAGCATTGTCAGAAGGGCTGAGATGGGGTACAGCATCCACAGCACGGCAGAGATGAGGTACAGTGTCCTCAGCAGGCTCTGAGGCCACATAGACTTTGCAGCATAGGGTGGGAGCCCATGTCACAGCTGCTGTGTCATGACCAGAGTGGTGTGGCTCAGCACACACTACTGAAGCACCAATGTGAGTTTTCTCATACCTGGAAAATGTTCACAGTTCTGTGTGAGGGAAGAAATTCTTTGCGAAGTGTCCATGAATGCTTTATCTGTGCATTCAGCGAGATCCTGGTTTTAAAAAAGTACACAAGTGCATAAGTTAAAAAATGTTCTTAAGAAACTTTATACAAGTAGTGAAATAAATTTACTAACAGATTAACTTTAGAATCTTTGCATAGAAAATGAAAGTCTAGTTTTAAAAAAGAATAAGAAACAGTTATGTAATAGCATCAAAAATAATAACACATACACATATACATAGAAATATGAAATAAGATGGCAAGGAAATCTAATGTAGAAATAATAACCATATAAATGAATGGCAACATTTTCATTTAGAAAGGCAAAGACTTTCAGATAAGTTAAAAAAATCAATTGTTTGTAACTTTAAGAAAAATATCTTGTAACAAACTATAGAAATGATCCGTGAAAGCTCCTTTTGGTACAAAATGGATGGATCTTGAAGTGATTGTGCAAACTGTAATAAGTCAGAAAGTGAAAGACAGTTTTCTGATGGTTTCACTCACTTGCAGAAAATAGATGTAGAAAAAAAAATTGATGAAGCACAACAACATCATTCTTAGGCTCTGTGAAAAATGTACTGGCTACTGGAGGGGGATCAGGGAAGCGAAAGGGGTTGAGGGACACAAAGGGGGTCGGGCATCGACTGGAGCCTTGGTGGCAGGTGAGTGAGGCATGCGCACATAGGGACGTGTCAACTTGCCCTCCTCAAATTATAATTATGCAAAACATTTGTAAACCAATAAAATAAACACTATGATATTAAAATAGAGTATCTTAAAAATAAAGAATAATATCTTATACTAGGATAAAGGAAACTGAAAGCAAATACAAACAAAAAAGGAGCAGAGTACTATTAATACTGGGAATAATAAGATTCAAGATAGCAAAAATTTCATGAAGGTAGTGAAAAGATTAAGTTATTCTTTTAAAAGAGACAGTCCAGAAGTATGGAATCAAAATAAAGTAGAAACTATAAACTATGTGAGTTGAAATGGATAAAAATAAATGCGGTAGGAGAACCTTATATACGCTATTAATGAAGGAAGGCCGATGATAAAAAATATGGTTATAAAAGAGTTGAATAACATAATAAGCATTTATTTAAATGGCACTTTCATATAAAACACAATTTATAATACTTTTATAGCTAGAGCACAAAATAATTTAAATCACCTTTACATTAGGTCACAAGAAAGGTTGGTTTTGAAGATATAAATACCAGACCAGTAAGTCATATATTTAAATATACTTTGAAGCTATGGCTATGAACAAATGGTGGCCTTGGAACAAAAATAGAGGACAGATCTTTCATATGAAACCACTACGGGAGAAATGTCATCTCAAATGTGCGTGGAAGGGAAGAAACCTAAGATATCTGGTGTTCTCTTTGGGGAAAATCAGTTGGCTCCCTCAAATAAAATTAATTCCACATAAAATTTAAAACTATTTCTGAAAACATTGACAAATAGAAAGAAAACTAAAATAACTGCTGAACACATGGTGGAAGAATTTAGAAGGAAAATATCAATAGATTTGGTCACTTATAAACAAAACTATTTGTAAGTCAGAAGTATTTAATGAAAACTAAAATGTAAATAACCGAGGACACACAATAAAGCACTGATCCCTTTATAATATGAATGCTGTTTCCCAAATCATTCAGATTTATCCCACTGTATTTTTATGACTGATGCAGTGAAACAGGACAGGTTTCTCTTCCTGCCCCATCAGATAAGCATTCCTATCTGTTGCATTTAACACGTTTATATTCTTTAAGTCCAAGGAAAGGGAGTTAAAGAGCAGTTGCTGACAAAGCAAGCTGGCGCCCACCGGAAATCTCAGAAATGTCTGTATGCCTGCATCAAAAGGACTTGCTGACCTTTCCCCCCTTTTCCCTTCCCATTTACAGACCCTTGCTCATCTCCCCTTTTTTTCCCTCTGTATAAATAACCCTGCACTCTGTCAAAGAGCAGGACAGTGGTCTTTCTGCTGTCCTCCTCAGTTTGCCAACAAATTAAATTACTTTCCTTCCCCTCAAACTTTGTTTCCTCTTATTGGCTAAGGGAAACTGAGGCCAGCATTTGGTATCAACTCTGTGTATATAGTTTTATGTGAAACTATTTTGTTTACATTAACCATTTTACTATGTCACAAAAAACTGAATTTTTTGATTGATTAATCAAACTTCAACTTAATTTTTGATGGCTGCATCATCTTCTATTTTATGGATATACTGTCATTTACTTAACTACTCCATAATGTTGAAAATAATTTATTTTCCAATGTTTTCCTAATAATAACAACACTGAAATTAGGTTCTTGCAGTCTGGAGTTCTTCTTCTTTTTTTTTTTTTTGCATTTAATAGAATTTTAGGTGTAGAATTACCATTGATAAAGGCTTTGCAACAATCATTTGCTTAAAGCACAGACTTCTGCTGAAATGCAAATACTCCAGAGAAAGTTATGCCTTAGTCATCTTTTTTTATTTTTTTAAGATTTATTTATTCATGCATACAAGAACCGGGGTACAGGCCAGATGTGCAGGAGGGTGAGAGGATTCACCAGAGACAGAGTGGGGAACAGAACAGGCAGACTGACTGAAATACACTGCTAAGGGGAGCAGCGGGTGAGACAGGAGAGGTCTGCCACACCATGTGGGATTCTTGCCGGCCAGCTGGGATTGAACCCACACTGCAGACAGCTTCACAGCGCTGTGCTCAACCGCCTGCACCACCAGGGGAGGCCCCTATGCCTTAGCCATCTTAATATGCACTGACTACTGCTACCCAGATTAACATAATTAACATAATATCTTGTTCAAATAATAAGATATCATACTGGAAAGGTTCACTAGGGATAGAGACTCAGGATGTGTTTATTAAAGACAAAAGGAGGGGAAGGAAGGTGACAGTACCAGCAGAGGAGCTGCCTTGAATGGGCGTCTGGAACACCAGAGGGACAGAGCATGTGGGGAAGGAAAGGGAGGAAAACTTGAAGATGGGGAAAGATAAACTTGACAATGATGTTGCATTGTCTCACGCTATTCCCAGTCCCTGGTTATCTCTGTAAGTGCTTATTGCTAGATGTGCAAACTCTTTGATCATGTAGGTAAGGGCATATTGACCAGTGATGTGACCTTCAGCCTTCCCAAGGGATCGTGAATGACATCTAACATTTTAGTGGCAGAGTTCTAACATAGCTGGAGAGTTCTCCTGTAAACCCTGGACACACGATGCTAAAAAGATTATAATTAGATCGTTGCTTACTTACGCCATCTGACAGGATCTGGCAGTCTGGAGTTAATAACGGAAAGTCCGCCTTGGAACAATTTGTTTCCATAATTGAGTAAGAAATGTCAAAGTTCCATCCAGCAACCACCTGGAACAATTTTGGATCAAATATTTAAATGGCAGTTGAAACATTATTCACAATGTTATGAAGATAATGCCTCACATATCATAAACACCCAAGAAGTATCAACTGTAATTATTAATAGACAAAAGTCATTACTAAAAAATATCGAGCATTTTATGATTCACACAACCCTTATCACAATATACACACATTCATCTGAAAATGAAAAGCAGTATATAGTTGGAGTTACTATGGATACTCAGCCAGGATGCAGGAAAATATTTTCTATTTCGTTTTGTGAAGTAATGCTATACTGGATAGATTAAGAAAACTTAGAGCTCAAGTAACCTTTAGGTCCTCAGGCCCTTGGACTAGCTGGCAATAACATTTCTCTTGCTTTAATGTGGGCCAGTCCTGCCATCATAGCTGGATATGGACATAATTGAGCAGCTCATGTATCCTTCAGGAAGACAAGTTGGAAGGCGGAGCAAAAGCAGGGAATGTTGCCAGCCAAAGCTGAGTCATCATGATTAAAGTTGAACTACAATGGACCCAGCCAATTGTCAGCCAAGGCATAGTGATCTGAGGCAATGAAAGGATGTTCTATAGATATTTGCTTCCCCGCGAACCCCCAGTAATACAGAAACTAATTTAGAGGGTGCCTGGAAAGCAATGCCAACTTTTTTAAAGGTAGAATTTAATATTTTGGAGCCATGTTTGTCTCTGGGTAAAGTTAAAAAATGGGTAAAGTTAAAAAACTAGAGGGGAATTGGATCTGAAATTGAGGAATTCCTGATGGAAGAATGTGGAAAGATGAAGACAGGATTTGAAAGGGGTAATGGAAAAAACAAACAGACAAACAAACAGAAGTGGGTTCTGACTTCAAAGAAGCTCTGACTGGGGGTGAGAGAAAAGAAGCAGCCTTTTCAGGGTGAGAGGAGTAGGGAAAAATATAAAACCAATTTTTCTGGGAACAAAATGGTTTTCTTCTTTGCCTTAAATTTTTCTAGCATTTCCAAAAAAGTGGAAATGCTTTTTCTAGGTGGTGTTAGAGTTTTCTTAAAACCTTCAGGCCAGAATGACTTCTTTCACCAGCTCTAGAAAGAACTTCTAATGCTGACCACCCTTTCATTCCAAACAAATCTCCAAGCAGGGAGCCTGACGAGCCACCGCAGAGCCTTTACATGTTGCAGTTTCCTTCGGTCACTTTGACCGAAGAGGACACAGAAGGGCCTCCCCTCCAGCTGTGGAACCCCGTGTTTTTGTTCAGCCAATAGTTTACTTCAGTTGATGAAATCCTAAGCACAAAAATCTAACAAATTTTAACAATACTGTGCAAAATGAAAAATGAAAGAACAAACCTGTTTATAAGCACTTTTTACTTCTTTAAGAGCAAAGAGGTGGGAATGCGAACTGTGGTTGTTAAAATGCGTGATGATTTGATTCAGGGCATGGTGCACATGGGAGTCTGCAGCTGATACTGGGTACTTGCAACCCAGGCAGTTGTACCGGGTCATCAACATGGGGCCCTCCCCTTGACAGAGAGCAGGCAAAAGAAGAAGTATTAATGGAAAAAACCAGCAAGTCAGACAATCTAGAAGGTCCTGTTAAACAAACTTTATAGTAAATCCAGGTATGAATTATTTTTATTCAGAGAGAAAAAAACTGCTATTTCCTTCGGACTGTCTTAGATGTATAGTATAGCATTGTGCACAATTATTTTATGGTTATTTTAAAGTCCTTTAATTATAGGATACATGAATTTATCCTATAAGAGATGAAAACATTGCAGGTTTTTTTTTTTGAGTATTAATTAAAGCTCTATGAAGATTGACTTGGGGTATAACACATTTTGTAACTTTGCAATCCACCAAACATGCCTTTTGCCCCTGCTGTGATGCCAGGTGCTGAGTCCCCATGTGGGGTTCTGGTAGACTCCCCATACCTGAGCATGCAAGATCCAAACAGGGTCAGGAGACGGGCAGTGTCTGACAGCTCTGCTGGCAGGACAACTCAACTCCCCTCAAATATTACTTGGCTTTCTCTGCATAAGTATGTGTGTCAGTCCCCTCAAATATTACTTGGCTTTCTCTCCATAAGTATGTGTGTCAGGAAAACGATTTATGAGGTGAAAACTCATAGTCCATGCCCCACATGCAGATGTTATGTTGAATCAGAAAAATGGGTAAAGTTAAAAAACTAGAGGGGAATTGGATCTGAAATTGAGGAATTCCTGATGGAAGAATGTGGAAAGATGAAGACAGGATTTGAAAGGGGTAATGGAAAAAACAAACAGACAAACAAACAGAAGTGGGTTCTGACTTCAAAGAAGCTCTGACTGGGGGTGAGAGAAAAGAAGCAGCCTTTTCAGTGTGAGAGGAGTAGGGAAAAATATAAAACCAATTTTTCTGGGAACAAAATGGTTTTCTTCCTTGCCTTAAATTTTTCTAGCATTTCCAAAGAGATTTCTTTAGCTAAAGATTTAAAAACTTTGAATTCTGAAACTCCACTGACCAAAAAAACTTTCAGATAAGGGACTATGAAACTAAAGGAATTTCCAAAGTTGTGGCAAAGAGCGTTTTCTCTCATAGTACATAATGCTCTATTCTGGATAATGTTATAATTTGCTTATGAGAGAAAGTTCCTAAACTGAATAAATAAAAAACTACTCCAAAAAAAAAAAAAAGAATTTAATTACTTATGGTTTCTTTTCTGTTTTGGACTGTTTTTCTTTTCTTTCTTTCTTTTTTTTTTGGGGGGGAGGGGGCTGTTTTTCTTCAAATGTGACTTTTTTGCAAGAACCAGAACTCCAGGAGTGTAGTTTTCGTGGCTTTCATATGGACAACTAAGGCCAACACAGAACAGCCACCACTATGGTGATGTTCTGTAGTGAGATGAAGATGCTGTTTCAGGGCCTCATTTTCTAAACTCAGTGGTGCAGACGATAAATCCCAGCAGAGTTTTTGTGATTGACATCACTTAAATGTGACCATTTTTTCCTCCTAGCACCTCTGTTACATTAGGGAAGGTACTAATAGTGATGAAATGTGTTGACAAATTGCTCCTAATTATATATGTAAGGCATTTTTTTTTTGTTTTTTTTTTTTGTTTTTTTTTTATCTGGGGTCTATTCTACCAACTCTGCTAATTATTAGTTGTGGAATTTTGGGCAACATACTAAATTGCTGTGGGTTTCAGTTTCTTCATCTGTAAAATGGAATGTTAATATTTTCCTTATAGAGGACTAAAGGAGCTACTATAGATTAAATAACACATAAATGCTCAACAAATGCTAACATTACCTGAATCCTGATTATAATTAATACATTAGTATGATTGTACCTTCAGGTACATCATCTAGCATTTTTCTGCAACAATCCTGGCACTTGGAAGGCCACTTGTTATCCCCTTTATAAGACAATGAAAAAGGAAAGCCGAGAAGGTAAAGAAGTTTAAAGAATATGGGCCCAGTCTGACCTCAAGCTTTTTCCTCTCGGGGATGGGGCCTACAACTGAAAGCAGGACTCCGCACCCCGACCCCACTGCACATCTATACAATGCAGCACTGCAGGGAGAGGGTGGGGGTAGCACTGAGGTGGTGACTGGCAGCAGCCTGGGCCCAGGTCAGGAGTGTGGGGTTGTATCCACCCCACTCTCCCTGAGGCTGCAAAAGGCACAGCTCCTGCTGCCCTCCCTGCAGGAAGGGGACACTGCCCTGGCTCTGCTCCAGGCACACAAAAATGACTGATTCTCCCCCTAAAACAGCCCCACCAGATATATCCACTACCTGGAGTGATCTGGCAGGTCTGGGTAGCTATGGTGAATTTATTATTCCTGGATTTTGCCACGGTGACTGTGCATTCTCCTGTGGACTAAAAAAAAAAAAAAAAAAAATTGTTATAAAAGACACCATTTATCTTAATCTTTCAGATGAGGACATCCGGGTAGTACTAACACTAAATACAATTTCATCTTAAAAAAATGGCTTGTTAAGATTTTTCCTAACAGAATTCTGAGGCAAAAGAATGAATGTTTGTATAATGGAATGATCATTTTTTACCAACCACTGACATTCATGAGAGCTTGGAGGAGAGGCACTATAAATGGTGAGGCTTTAAATCTCAGTCTTTGCTTTGAGGCCTGGAAATACTTCCTTTTTTAACAAAATATACACAGTGCATTAGAACCAAACTTCTAACTCTCCTCTTGATGTACCTTTCAGTTTCCATGTTCAAACTGCGTAGAAGATGCCCATGTTTCACACTGAAGAGGTGAATGCAATGACAGTGAAAACACTAGCTTGTTGCTGAGAAGATCCCATCTGCAATCTCCCTGAATTGAGGCAAAACAACCAGCTGTGGAGTGGCAGGCCCTTGCCAGGCATTTGGTTAAGATAATCGCTACTATGAAAACAAAGTCCTTTGCAGGAGGTGTCTCCTTTCCTCCTCCCTCCATCCATGGGGTCCCTGTGAACTCTACCTTTACAGGGGAGGAGCCAGTTCAGAGTGGTCAGCTAGCTGGAGGCAGGGAGGTTTCCAGCTTAGGCCTGTGAAGGGAAGGGCCCCACTCCCCTCTCACCAGCCCTTCACCTGTGCCCAAGGGCTCTGATGTCTCTGGGCCTGTCCACGTGTCCCAGGGGGTCAGCAGAGTCGCCTTCTCAAGGGGGACTTTCCTCGTGTCTAACCACTGGCCTCTCCCTGCCCTTTATGTCTATGTGGCAACACAGACATCAAGCATGGGACTTTTCTGTACATTTGATGGTTCACGGGCAACCTCAGAAACAGACTCACAATATTTCTCATCCCAGCACCAGAAGAAATTTCTGGTAGTCTTGACACAGAAAACCAGAGGCTTGGAAATAGCTGACACACTTACAGCATCCGCAGATTGTTTGTAGTCACAGTTCTGCCAGGATTTGCCACTTTGAACGGGACAGTCACCCTCCTTGACTTGGTACTTGAAGGAATAATATTGGTTCAAGTCATCCTGGAAAAAGGCAACCAAAGATACAAAAGGTTCATCCTACTGATGTGACCCAACAGTGAATCATTTGAGTATGGTCTGTCGTGGTTAGGAATATTCAATAATGGTTTGATACAATTGGAGCCAAACATGCATTAAAAATGCCAAAAGTTACAAATATTTACTTAGACAAATGTTCATAATGTATATACATATATTTAATATATGTATACATATTATATGAATATGAGTTAATTGATTTTTTCAACAAATTGAGCAATTATTTGCCCAGTATTGGGGATATAGCAGTTAACAAATTTCTTCTATGAATATATGTATATACTTATATATATACACTTATATATATATATATATTTGAGTTACAAAGTAGTATCCATAGCATTAGGTCATATTTGTAGAAATCAGTTTATATATAGATATGTGATTTTTAAATGTCTGAAAAATTGTGCTACAAAGGGGTTAAAATGTCTCTCAGTGGTAGAATCACAGCTGTCTTTCACTTTCTTCTTTAAACAAACATTCCTGAATTGCCAAGCTGTTTTTTAAACAAAAATATATTAGTTTTATAGTTAGATAACAAACAAATTAAAGGGCTTTTTTCACTTTTGCAAAAAATGATAACAGTTATTTCTGGATAGTAGGATGGATTTAGGTGAGTTTAGTATGTTTATTTGCATTTTGTGTTTACTGTCAACATTTGAATCATGTCATAATGGTAAATAAAACTTTTAAAACTCAAAGGTGGTGAATTTGGATGAGCTTTCAAATGCACAATCCTGGCATGCAGGACCTCAGAGGTGGTGTTGTCCAGCCCCCCACTTTGCAGGTGAGAGCCAGGAGGCCAGCATTCACGGCAGGAGGAGGCAGCCTTGCCACCTGGAGAAGCAGAGGCTGAGGGTCCTGGGCTCCTGACACCCAGGAGCCATTCTCTCAGAGCCTGGTGGGTCATAATCTTAGCACCTGGAGGGGCTGGAGTCAGACAGGCCCTCTCTGAGGTCCACTCCAGGTCTCAGATTTTAATAAAACAGGAAGTGGTAGCAGTGTGGGCGGTGGTCACACTGGAAAGGAGAGATAAGTGATTCTACAGATATTTTTGAATGAAAGTTGACATCTGCCATGGCAGCCAGTGAAGATGCCACCAACACACTGGACAGACCTAGAAGCGGAACTCCTACCTGATGACTCTAGATTATGGAACCACATGATTCCTTTCATTTTCAGAAAAAGCTGTCCTCCTGGGCTTTTGTCTTAATCCTCATGTCAAATGACTGATTTTATTATTCACCAAAGTAAACAATTAAACAGCTATCACAGAGACACAGTATTTTACAGTGAAATTCATTTGAGAGATTTATATTTCTGATATGAAATTTCTTATCAGAATTTGTCACCAACCTGCATACATCAATCAGTGATTAAAAAAATATTAAAAACCACCCAGAATACAGCTGTTACCCTTGATGTATTCAGGCAAATGGACCTCAAGGTAGATACTTTGTTTATGGCATAGAACCATGCTAATCTCATTTCAGGCTTAATTTAGACCTAACTCCCCCTCTCTCACAGCTTTATCAAAGTATAACTGACAAGTAAAAATTATATATATTTAAGGTATACAACATAAATTGATTTATGTGTACATTGTGTAGTGATGACCAGGCACAAGCTAATTAATACATTCATTGCTTTTTAATGGTAAAAACATTCAATATCACTTTTAAACAAATTTCAAATCTAAAATACAGTGTTATAACTGCAATCATAATACTATACACCAGCTCCTAGAATTTTCTCAACTTACAACTGAAAGTTTATACCCTTTGACCAAAATCTCTCCACTTTGCCTACTACCCGGCCCCTATAAACACCATGCTACATTCTGCTTCTGTGAATTTGACTTTTTTAGATTCTGGTATAAGTAAGGTCATATAGTATTTGTAGGAGTTCCCCTTATGAACTCCTCCCCAGTTGAGGTCTGGAGGTTTTTTAACAGTCACCAGCAAGTCCTCTCTAGCAAGTCCCTTTCAAATGACTGCATCTACCTTTGTTCTACTTCACCCCAGGATTCTGCCTCTCTTCCCACCTGGGGAGGCAGCCTTGGTGCCCAGGGACTAGTCATCCCTACCCCTCACCACCAGTCAGAGGGCGGTGGTCCCTTCTAAGGGCTATAAACTTTTCCTACGGTTTTCAGTTCTGTTGATTGGTGGGGGGAGGGGAGGAGGGAGAGGAGCGTGTTGGTGGGGATGGGGGAGGGTGCCTGGGCTCCAAGTGAAAGCAAATTTCAAATGCTGTCAGGGTTTCATAGAATACTCACAATCAGGGTGACATTACTTATACGGTACAATACAAACTGGTTGCCACTTTTGTTTCCATCATTATATTTCTTCAGCGCAGCATCCACAGCCTTAAATACATCCTCATCATCGCAGCCAATTTCCTGTGAGAAGGACTCCTGGCTCAAACTTGATAGCAGCCTGGAGCAGAGGAAAAGGATGGTAATTAATCTCATGACTTAACAGTCTCCTAAGTGTTGAGGATATCTCCCCAAGAGTTGGAACTTGATTTTAACCACCTCCAGCCTCTTATTTCCTCTGCCTTAGCACTCTGGGGCGCTGATTGGATCCCTGCTCCCGTACACTATTTGCCCTATTCCAAAAGGACAAATGACTCTGCTGGGCTGTCCAAGCATTACAACACTGGGGTTATTGACCTGCTTGTTTGCATTTGGGAGGCCTGTGGGCACATAGCTCATGTTCCAGGTAATTGCATAAATTTATATAGCAAATCAGAGCAGAATCTTATAAAGGAGTAAGAAAAAACCCTAACCACCTCTGTCATCCCCATGGAACTGCATGTAGCAGCAATGCAACAGTGACTACAACATGCAGACAACTTTCAATATCATGGCAGCACTGTTTACAATAACCTAGATATGGAAACAATCTAGGTGCCCAGACAGAGACAAGTGGATCAAGAAGATGTTGTATATACACAAGGACTATTATTCAGTGAGCAGATAAAGTCCAACTTAAAAACTAACCCTTGAAAGTTGACTGTAGAAGTGAGGAATCTGGGGGAGAGGGAGGGAGAGAACAGGGTAGGGAGGAGGCACAATGGACTACGGTGGTGTGGACTATGGGTGCTTTGCTGGTGTATGCACTACAGAAATTACACCTGAAGGGGGCAATCTGACAATTCCTAAAATATGAACAATGAATAAACCAACATTACCTCTATCAGAAAAGTTATTTGTAGGATGTTTAGCTGCAGAGAAGCGGGCTGCTACCGAGCATATTGCATGCTTGGGATCCAAAAAACAGGGCATAAGTGAGTGCCGGGCATTCCACACCATGACAACAGAGCAGCTGAAAATAAAATGTGAGTGTCCTATCTATTCTCTGTCCAAAACAGCCTTTCTCCACTCATTTGTATTAGTTCTGGGAAGGAAAATTCTCCCCAGGTGAGGAGACCGGGGGAAACAGAGAGGGTAGGTTGAATGAATCTCTATCCTTGCTTCTTGTTTCTGCCTTGGTGGATATGTATGTCTTTCACTCACTGGGCCGAAGCAAACTTTTCAATAATAAGGCCTTTGGGGGTGGGGGGGGAGGTCTAAGGTTGGCTAAAGAAGTGGGCTAACCCTCAGTAGATGTTTGTCCTCAAGTGTTATTCCCCCCCACCCCTTCCTTTCCCCCAGCACCCTTAGTTCCCAAGAAAGTATGTTTGACTTATTTGTTGTTGTTTATGGAGTTTCTAGTTTGATGATTCAGTCTCCTTGAGAGTCCCTGAAGAAAACGGGCCAAGGTGTTTTGAACAGTGGCCTTGTAACAGAGTGGCAGGGACATGAACTTGGCAGTAAGTACAACCTTGATTCCAATCTAGCTCTTCAACTTAATTGCCAAGTGATCTTAAGCAAATCAAGGTCATATAGCCTTCCTCACCTCACATTTTTTTTTTTTTGTAGAATGTGGAAAATTATAATAGCCTAATATTAGAGATAATATATGTGCAGGGTCTAGTAATTTGTTCTTATAATCATATCTAATAATAGAATGGATGGTTAAGAATCTCGACTGAAGCAAGCAGTTTCAGATGCATGGTGATGACAGAAGGTAGATTCCAGTGTGTTTGGGGGTGAAAGCTGGGTGAAAGAGACAGGTGTTTTCTTACTCTGGGAAGGAGGGACCTACAAAGATGGAGAACTTGAAATTGGGAAAGTGAAAGGGAAATGTGTTGTCAGCATTTGAAGAGGAGAGGAGCCCCTAAGCTAATTACTTGCTTAGGGTCTTGTAGTCAGTAAATGGAGGAGCTGGGATTAGAACCCCAAGCAGAATGTAACCCAAAGTCACATTCTTTCCTGTTTATTATACTACTTGAAACACTGCACATGTTGTTTCTGAGTCTTCATTGGAAGCACCCAGCATGACTAACCTCTCATTCCTCTCCATGCCCTGCCTCACAGGTCACCATCACTGGTCACTTTATTCTCCCAGTTTTAGTTTCTCCATCTTTGCAGGCTCCTCCTTCCAGCCTAAGAACAACGCAAATCTCTTTCCCCTTTATTTTTTTCCCCTTCACTGCCCAGTTAAAGCCTATCTGCCATCAGTTTGTACCAGAAATGACTTGTGTAAGTCAGGTAGAAAGAATTTGAATTCTCATTAACCTGCTTGAGCCCTGATTAAGGAGATGGGGAAAATGGAGTCCTCTAACACTGAAAATGAACAAGAAGTTATTAGAGACCCCAGAGCCTCTAACCTCAGGAGAAGATATGAAAATTGATGGGTCCTTAAGGAGAGGACTCCTTCACCCTACTTTCTGGTCATACAGCCTGGAGGGGAACAGGATCCCAGGAAATAATAGCCACAAGGCAGTCATGCCCATTAGCAGGCTTCCAGAGACTTCTCTATCCCCAATTTGATAAGGATAAAGTAGACCCAAGAGAGATGTGAAGAGAGCAGTTATTCTCCTTAAGCAGGGGGCCCTGATGGGCCAGTGATAAGAGCCAGACCTCCTCCTTGTGCCCACCACCCACATACTATGTGAGCAGTATGTGAGATTCTAGAATGGTGGCACAGTTTTGTGTGGGGAGTAGCATGATGAAGCAAGTCCAAGAAGGAGAGATTAAATTTTTCATTAGCCCAGCAGCTTGAAATAGAAATAAAAATTAATTTGTTTAGAAAAAACAAAAGAAATAAAGTGGTATTTCTTATGCACCTGAATTTACAATTATGGTTCATGCCTACAAACTTCTTTGAAATGTATAACCTGAGCTTTGTTCGCTTATAGTTGAATTTGGATCTTATTTTTCCAATGAGAAATTTAGAGGGCTAGAAATTACAAGTAGGAGAAACTTTGGGTCACTCTTTTAAGAATACTCCCTTACATGATAATACATTCCACCTTAGTATGTCCAGCTACACTTAAGCACTAATAAAGGAAAGAGGCTGGAATTAAACAAGTCCAGGAAAGAAATTCTGAAGATCAGAGATTTGCCAGTGACAGAATAAACTTCTTATTTGTAGCCCTAGGATCTTTCCTCTCTTCCTCAAACTTTTGCCCTATTCTAAGCATGAAAGTAAAGTTAAAATAGTTTGCAATTTTGCATTTATTACTAGTCACATCTTATTTATTGTCTAATTAAGAACATTATTCATTTTCCCATCAAGGAAATCAGATTTTATTTTGGAAATGTGTCTGCAAAAAACTTGGAGACTTGGGGGAACTCACTCTTGAACTTCCCTGGACATGATTCAGAGACTGATTGAGGGAAAGGCTGAATCTCTGGCTTTTGAGAGTTGTGGTTTGGCATTGAGAAGATGGGAAAATTGGCTTCAGGTGAAGGTAGAACTTCATCATTTTTCAGTGGAGGGAGTGAGTAAACATATCCAATTTGTCTCCTTTCGAAGTGAAAGTGTCCCTTATCTGGACCTCTCTCTTCTGATTGTCTATGAGGTGGGCCATGGCCTGGGTGATGGTGACTTTGGCTATGGGGTGGTGGGTCACAGGGTCCAAAATCATGGAAATCATGGCCATGGGGACGGTGGTGAGGACGGCGTCCACGGTGACGATGTCTATGGGGACGGTGTCCATGGGGACCATGTCCATGGGGATGGTGTCCATGGGGACGGTGTCCATGTCCATGGGGATGGTGTCCATGGGGACCATGTCCATGGGGATGGTGTCCATGGGGACCGTGTCCGTGGGGATGGTGTCCATGGGGATGGTGCTCACTGGAATTGTGATTATGAAAGGGTCCACGGGTTCCATTAATACTAAAATGGGAGTGATGACATCTTGACCCTGAAGGAAGATCTCCTTCGTGAGACACTGGTCTGTCTGAGTCACTTTTGTCTTCCCCAGGAGCTGGGCATCTAGGTTTATGTGATTTGTGGGAATGATGGTGATGTTTGGATCCATTGGCCTTGAATGGAGACTGGCCAGGAGGAGGATGCTTGTGTCCATTAGAGAAGAGGAGATGACCCAAAAGGCGATGTATGCCACTGATGTTTCTATGTTCCTGGTAAAGGACACAACAAGTGAATATCAACATGTAACACAAAAGGATAAGCTACATGTTCACCTTGATTTAGACCAACAGTTCACAGACTTTTGGATTCTACAGATGAATTTTTAAAGTAGGATAGCAAAAAGAGTTCTTAATTTTTATCTAGCAAAGTTAGCATTTAGAATAGAAAATAAAATTATCATCTACCACTACCATCATTTCACAATAGGAATAATATTGTGACAACACTAGAGTCAGAGTGAAAACTGGTCCTTTTGATGGAGTAAGTGTATTATGAAAAACTCCTTATTACCATTATTTTTCTCATTTCAACAGAAAGTGTTGAAATTATAACCTGCCACTCACCTGTAAACCAACATTTGGAAAACTAATGTCTTATAATTTATATTCTTAACAGAGCTCTAAAATTTGTGATATAAGCATCCCTTACACCTAAAGGATGGGCACGTCACCTTTACTCTCTTTTTTAGATTTTAATTAAAAAAAATCAATGGAGTGATGTTCATGGGGACAAAGTTGCCCATTTCCCTCTTGGTACTTGGATATTTGGATCCTTTAGGTTCTTTTTCCTGATACCAAAATTACTGTAAAGAGTATTTTGGTATAAAATAAAGCTTTCTGGGAGAGATAAAAAATATTGTTTTACACCTTTCCTTATACATCTTTACATAATAAATTTGAGGCTAATTTACTCCCCTTAGATTCCATGCCTACAAAATAGTATCAGCACTGGAGTCCTGATTACAGACGCCACTTTCAAATTCATTAACGGCTAATTGAATTAGTCATGATTTTACTTTTATGTCAAATTTACCCCTCTCCAATTCTTGGGAAAATTTTCGTATTTTTTTGTGGCATACTAATAATTGCATTCCTTTCCCCAGGGGCCTATTCTGTGTGTACTTCTGCCCACTCCACCATATAATATCTTTTCTCTCTCTCTCTCTCTCTCTCTCTCTCTCTCTCTCTCTCTCTCTCTCGCTCGCTCTCTCTCTCTCTCTCACACACACATACACAAAGCAATAAGAATAAAATACAATTAATCTGGCACTGATTATGACAAAGGCTGCTTAGGAACTCACCTCAAGGTTGAACACTTCACAGTTTATGACAATATCTTTTGGGGTTTCCAAGTCAGAGGCTCCTACAACATAGTACAAATCTGCTCTGCAGAATCCAAAAGCCTATAAAGAAGAGAGAACCCTGTTTGTGTGTATGTGTGTGTGCGCGCACATGGCTGCACAAGTAGTAAGATGGTGCCCAGGTAGAGTTGTGAACTTCCAGACATTGGGAAAAGAAGAAGAGCTTAGAAAAATCAGGGTTATATTATCAAATATCTCCACCAGTTATTTATCAATCTTCCCTAGTTAACAATGCTTTTGGGAAAGTATCATTTCCTAAGACTTCATCACAAATTGCTGTGTTCTCTTCCATGAGTGGACATGAGCATTGGCCTTCCCCATGGGTGGGAGTGGCAGTACCACATTATCAATGTCTTTAATTCAGCCCTGCTGCACCGAAGATTTGAGTTGCCTATGACTAGAGAGAATGAAGACTGGTATAGCAGAGGGATTTTGGATAATTTAAATCAGTCGTTTGGATTGCTGAAAAGGAGGGAGATACTATAAAGAAGAGTTTACATGAACCCTGTCAGAATAAGTGTCTGCTGGCCCTACCCGAAGTACAGAGGCTACAATTGGCTGATACCCCTGTATCCCAGAAACCCTAAAACCCAATTGTCAAACTTCAACTAGGACAAAAAGAAAACCTTTTTTTTAGAAGAGCCTATTAAGCACTGAAGGTTGGAATACAGTTTTGGAGCTATACATACCTATGTAACTTCTGGTTTCACTATTTACTAGCAGTGTGTTTAAGCAGATTACATAAAATTCCCCAAACTCAGTTTTTTTAAAAGATCTGTATAATTCTATCAACCCACACATGGTGGCAGGACTTAATTAAATGAGATAATGCTGTAAAACACTGAGCACTGAGCTTGTCTTCAGCCAGTGTGCACTGAACTTGCACTTATTTGCAGATGGGGGTGGAGAAGGAGGTGGCCACTAAGCAGAATTTTAGAATTGCTTCAGGTTAAAAAATTGGACAAACAGAAAAGGAATGGCTTCTTTTGAACTTTCCTAATGAATATTTTCAATCTTCCAACTCTGGAGAATGTGCTGTTAAATGTCAGAAAAGTTCTGGCCCTAAAATCAGAAGAGATCACCATTAAAATCCTACATCCTAACACTTTCTAGTTAAGTATCCTTAGGTAAGTGGCTAAACTTCCAGGCCCACCTGTTCTAGGGAGAATGGAGCAGACACTTGTTTCTCTTCAAGGGGGTTGCCATGGGCTTCCAATGAGACAGTAATATATGTGGAGGTGTTTCGTTAACTATAGGTCACTGTAAAAATGGCAAGTATTGTTAAGATCTTCCTGCAGGTAATCAAGTTATATATGATGAGGGAGAGAAAGCCCACTGGACTGAGCATTAGAACTGGATTCTAATCTCAGCTTCATTGGGAACACTGGGCAAGACTTAATTTGTTAAGATTTGTCACATGAACCATAAATAAGGTGAAATGAATTAATAGGTAGATTCTTAATAACAGCTAGTTACAGTTTTAGTTGTTTCTAACTTAGTGGGTTAAAACACTCAGTTAAGTTTAGGTATATATCATGTATATAATAAAATCATGTTCTCATAATTGTGTGCTTTTTTCTGTGCCTCAGTTTCTCCATATGTAAATCTGCGGTAGAAACAGGATGGTGGTGGGATTAATATGTTATCATATATCTAAAGCATTTAGAAGACTGCCTGGCACATAGCAGGTGCTCTCAAAATATCCCCTGGCATTTCGCAGATTTTTATCATACTCACATTAAAGTGTCTGGGAAAATAATGAGCAGAGCAGTTCCTCACAGAGAAGTCCACATAGTAATTGGTTCCTTCCTCTCCTCTCTGGAACAGATTGGATCAAAGCAGTTTCAGGAACATTAAAAAGGTAGACAAACAATCAACAGCAACATGCATATATTATACGATATACTGTAAGGCAACCCATATGGACCATATTTCTTATAGTCCCTGCCTTTTTTAAAATTTCATAACTTAAGTGATTAGGTGAATATAATTTCATTGAAGAGGACTGATGAAAAATCAGTCTCTTTGCACCCCAACCTCTCCTCAGAGGTATCACTATCATCTGTTGGATGAATTCCTCCCTCTAGCACGCTCCTAAATATGTTGCTCATACACACAAATGTCTAATTGTTTCACTTAAGTCGGCTCATAATCTTAAGTATTGTTCTGTGACCTGTTTCTCCCTCATCAGTATGGCTGGGACTCTTTCCAGTGCACTGAGGTCCAAAACATTCTTTTTTGTAATTTTGTTGTATTCATTCCATTGCTTGTATGCACCATAATCTAATTAACTATTTTCAAAATGCATGACAGGGCCTCCCCTGGGGGTGCAGCGGTTGAGCGCTGGGCTGCAAAGATGCCTGCAGCGTCTGCAGCGCCGGTTCTATCCCCGGCCACCAGTGAGGGTCCCACATGGTGTGCAGACCTCTCCTGCCACCAGCCGCTCCCCTCAGCAGTGTATTTCAGTGTATTTCGTCGGTCTGCCTGTTCTGTTCCCCGCTTTGGTGAATTCTCTCACCCTTCCGCGCTTCTGACTGTACCCAGTGCTTGTATAAATAAATAAATAAATCTTAAAAAAAAATGCATGACAAACGTGTTAGCTTCTCTCAACAACCACTCTATGTGAGAGGCAGGTGGATCCTGGAACTGAGACACAAGAGACCTGTTTACTTACAGCCACACAACTGGGTGTGGTGTGGGAGTTTCTCTAAGTCTTGGTTTCCCATATAGCAAGGAGTTTAGGACCCATTGTTTTTAATGACTCACATCACCCTAATATGCTTTTCTGTCTTTCCCTCCTTCCTTTTTGGGTGTTTCTTCTCTTCCTCCGTGTGTGTTCTTGTCCCACTCCACATCATAAGAAGATACGAGAGAGCAGACCTTTGGTATTTACCGCCTATCTAAGAGACTGCAACAGGGGCTTGAATTAAAAGGCAGCTGGCCAGTGAGGGCAGTGGGCTGGTCCATGCTGCTGTTTGTGCCTGCCAGGATGGAGCCTGTGCCTTAGACTCCGGCTGGGCATTTGTGGACACTCACTGCTCGCGCCACTCTCTCCACCTGGTCCACTCTGAAATGTGCAAAGTCAGCATTCTCTCCTTTATACTTCTCAAGGGCTTTGTCAGCTTGTTCTCTGTAGAGGTCAGTATCCTCAAAGAAATCCAGAAGAACGGGGCTATCTTTGGTATTGCTCAATGCTGAAGAGACTAGAGAAAGAAGACAGCAGCTTTGTAGTTACTGGAATGAAAGTAGGAGTGACAGTGCTGGGATTAATACATATAAGCATGGGAGCAAGGTCAAAAATAGCTTCCCTTTCATACATGGACAAATTAAGGGTTGGAGAAGCTAAGTTATTTGCTAAAGATTCAATCAGCCAGTCCACAGTGGAGCTGAACTTGAACCCAGGCCCTTCTGATGCTCAAGTCTCTGTCGAGACCCCTATTCATGATGACTCTCCCCGCACCCCACCCGTAAAGTATTCATGTTTTAGCAAGGAAGGGAAGGCACATTAAATAAAGTTTTGCCCAGAGAAGGAAGAAACAGCTCAACTTTTCTTAAAGGTGACCTCCTGAAGCAGTAGCTTGGTTGTTGAATTTTTGTATATTGCGTCATTTTGAAATTTCATATCTTTAAAGAAATTCTGTGATAATTCTTTTTGAAAAAGTAAATTAAAAGAGGGCCTCCCCGGTGGCGCAGCGGTTGAGTGCTGGGTTGCGAAGCTGCCCGCAGCCTCTGCAGCGCCGGTTCGATCCCTGGCCACTGGGCGAGGGTCCCACATGGCGCACAGACCTCTCCTGCCTCCCACTGCTCCCCTCAGCAGTGTATCGTCAGTCTGCCTGTTCTGTCCCCCGCTCTGGCTCTGGTGAATTCTCTCACCCTCCCGCGCTTCTGACTGTACCCAGTGCTTGTATAAAAATTAAAAAAAAAAAAGTAAATTAAAAGAGCATGGAATTTAGAGTCAACCCTGGTAGGACAGAGTCATGTCTTCAGCACATTTTGCTTGTGTTCCTGAGATTAAGTCACTGAACTTCTTTTAGTTTCATTTCATTTCTAAAATAGAAAGCATCATCATCTTTACTTCATGGTCCTTTTGTGAGATTAAATGGAATGAGGTGTAAATAATTTCTTTAAAAACTGTAGAGTAATACATATTTAGATGTTAAATCTATACTTATGGATTACTAAGTACTCTGCAAAGTATGCCTCACAGATCACCCTATTTAATGCTAACAAGAACTTGGAGGTCATTGCTATGATTCTACCCTAACTTCGGCTCATTTTATAATGAAGGAAGGATTAAAGCAGTTAAGTCAATTGCTCTCAAGACCACAGGCTTGTAAATGATGAGGATGGGATTCAAACTCAAGCAAATTTGGCCAGCGCTTATGTCCCCAACAATGATGCTCTACTGCCTCTGATAATTTCTATTTTTATGTGTTGAGTTTCTTTAAAGGAAGTTGCATCAATAACAAGGGATAACCCTCTCCCTCTCTTCTGAAGAGAATGAAAAATAATCAAGTCCATAAGGGCAGAAACTGTTTCTAATATGTACATCATAGTACTATGTATGATTCAATTCTATATTAATCTAAAATTAAAAATTTAGGTAAGGTTACCATACCAGAACTTGTGGTGCAATTAAAGTCCTTCACTTTAAGATCCTGATGTTCATTTGAATGTGTTGTAGCTATTACCTTACATTTTCCGATCACCTGTAAGAAAGAGGTTTTTGTCAATGCACATAGCTTTCCTCAGGGGACAAAAAAAAGTATTGTCACATATTCCTGCTATCCATTTAAAAAATATTTGTGCTTTGTCTTACCCAGTTCTCTTCAAAACCCTCATAAGAACCAGGGAGAAACTGTTTAAATGAATCATGTCCATATCCCAAATACTTTTGCGTGTAAATGTCTTATTTTCTGGAATTGAAATGTTAGATCTATGCATATTCATCTCTGTGTTCCCTTGTGGCAGGAAGCTTGGGATCTAAGTACCTGGATATAATGTCCATAACAAAACCCTATTCCTCACAGTAACTGCAACAAATTCCTTTGGCCATTCCTGCTAATGGACCAGTCTTCATAAGGCAAGACTACAATCATAAGTTCTTAGACTCACAGGCTATCAGTGCTGGAAAGAACCCAAGAGCTCACATACTCCAGCCCTCTTATCCCACCTTGTACAAAGGGGGAAAATGTCAAAAGACATCAGGTGATTTGCCCAAGGTCTTGTGTTAGTCATGCCACCATGGGTCACAACCCCCATTAATATATTTTGAATTGAGTTCTTGGGTATCACTCTCAAGAGAATATTGTGCAAGTTCAACACAGTTTTGCTCTTACTCTTTTACTCTCTCAGCCCAGGCACGTGGCTATCCTGAGTGAGCAGAGTAGACAGAAGTCAAGTATCATAAGAGGAGGGAACTAGTATCCTGTTGACTTACTATTTCAGATGGACGTCTAGACACATCTGGCTTACAGTCATGCCAGTGTTTCCTGGATAGGACTGAACAATCGGTTTCTTCCACATCTAAAACTAAATAATAGACAGTTGTGGATTCCTGGAGAAAGACAAGAAAGCAACAAGTGAGTAACATGAAGCACCCTAGAGGTTTTCTCAACAAAAGCAATCGTTTATTTCTTAAGAATTTCTGGGCCTCCCCGGTGGCGCAGCAGCTGAGCACTGGGTTGTGAAGCTGCCTGCAGCCTCTGCAGCGCCGGTTCGATCCCCGGCTGCTCCCCGGCCACCCCACATGGAGCGCAGATCTCTCCTGCCACCCACTGCTCCCCTCAGCAGTGTACTTCGGTCCTTCTGCCTGCTCTGCTCCCCGCTCTGTCTCTGGTGAATTCTCTCACCCTCCCGCACTTCTGACTGTACCCAGTGCTTGTATAAATAAATAAATAAATCTAAAAAAAAAAAAGAATTTCTGTTCCTCTCCAAATCATTGCAGGTGACCCTTTTGTCATTTGAGTTATTTATTTGAGTAAGTAGCTTAACAAATAGCAGCAAAGATTTACTTCCAAATATCCTTTTTAACTGATCCGGATGTTGCTTCTACCTTTAGCTTTAAAGTGCCATCACTGACTAGCAGAGTTGGCTTGGAAGGAGGTGTTGAAGGTGCCAGCCTAGAACTGTAAGTGACGATGGCCATGTCAATGCTTCCAATCTGTATGTGCAGTCATACCCTCTCACCCAGCTCTACTCCTGAAATTGGATTTCTTGCTTTGATTTCAGTCTGTCCCCACAAGTTAAACCTCTCTCTTGCACATCAGTTCCCTGTCTTAAATTCCCTTGACTTTTGTCAGTGGTACTATCAATTATTTATTGCTTTAATCTCTGGTTTGAAAAATGTAAAATCAACTTTGATTTCTTCCTTTTCTTTGCTTTTGCTATCCAGTCACCAGACCTTACTGGTCTTTCTTGGAAATATCTCATGTCTTCTTTATTCTTGCCCTAATTCTGCCTGTGTCTGGTCATCACTTCTTCATTCCTGAATGTGTAATGGGGGCCAAGGAGGAAGGAAAGAACATCATCCTTAGTGTATGAATCTGCACATACATGACTAATATAGGCTATACGTACACACTATATGACTAATGATCTTTATTCTTTATTGTTTTTTATTAAGATTTATTTATTTAATTTTACAAGTACTGGGTACAGTCAGAAGCGCGGGAGGGTGAGAGAATTCACCAGAGCCAGAGCGGGAAACAGAACAGGCAGACTGATGATACACTGCTGAGGGGAGCAGCGGGCAGCAGGAGGGGTCTGCGCGCCATGTGGGACCCTCCGGGGATCGAACCGGCGCTGCAGAGGCTGCGGGCAGCCTCTCAACCCAGCGCTCAACCACTGCACCACCAGGGAGGCCCAGATCTTTATTCTTTAAACTAAAACTCCTACTTTGAACTGAGATTCCTACCCTGATGATGCCCAAATGAGTGCTGGACATTGATACCATCAGAAATTAACCAAGCAGGCCAGGGTGTACCAAGGATAAGATAACAACTTCTGGGGGTAAACATGACAAATACCAAGAATACCGACTATGATGAGCTATTCTGATAAACTGATTCAACTTGATGGGCTGTCCTGATGAAACAATTCACTTATGACTGCTTTTGTTCAACTCACTATAAAACAGCCAGCTAGAAATGAGACAATAGAATGTTTTCTTCAAGGTGATATGCCCACCATTCTCAGATTGCTGGCCAGCTACAGAATCAACTCCTGTTTCTGTTCATTGGCTTTCAGTAGTGACAGGCAGCAGAACCTGGCATTACTGGTAACATGTGTACAAAGCTTCCTACGTCATGTCCCTGTCATCTGCCTCCATCTCCCTAGGTACAAGGAGCCCCCCACACCCTTTTTACCACTCAGAGAGAGCAGGGTGCTGACTCATCCTATGTCCTATCCCTAAAGCAGAGAGACTGGAGTGGGACTAATTGTCATTAAATTACGTATTGAATCCTAAATTCCTGCACTCTTATTCTCTGCAACTGTAGCACCTCTAGCTCTAATACTTTAACAAGTATACATTTCTTTGCTTGTCGCCTGTGATGCTCCATGATCTGGCTTCCCATTTTCAGTGATTCCACCTAGGGTAGATTTTTTTGAAGTGTGGAGCTGGTGGGATATTTACCTCTGTAATTTCTATCAAGTCCTCAAATCCACTCCAAATAAGCATATAATCTGAGTGAAGAAATAGACTTGCTTTACTTCAAGATAAACCTACAGTTTCTCTCCCAGCCTGATGGTGCTCCAAAGTCCACCCAGAACTTCTGGAACCCTTCTACTTATGTTCAATTACTCCCTTACACCCTTCTTCCTGAAACCAATATAGGTGGTGTATCTGGAATTCTCCTGGAATGCCTTGTGCCAATCCATCTTCCTATTCAAATTCTACTCACTCTCCAGGCCCCAAATGAAGCCTTCTCCCATCAAATATTAATAGACCTGCTTTCATTAAATTATTCTAGCCTCTCTATCACTCACTTGGTCACTTGAATATATCCTATCTAACAGCACCTATGTATACATGTGAGGGCAAGACCCACAGTTTGTCCTAATTTTTCTCTTATACTACATAGTATTTGATCGAGTTCAGCCTAAGTATTTATAAGTATTTACAAATGGAATCAGAGTTAAGTACACACAAATAACAAAAATTAGCTAGAAGGGAAAAAAAGCAGTTGAGAGCAACAGGAAACTCAACAGAGAACCCTGATCAAAGTCATTCCATTGTGCAAAGCAGTAGAGTGAGGGGCTGGAGTCACATTTGTCCCTGGTGCATGGTCTCCCAACTCAACTCTGCCATTAGCGATTCCTCACCGCTTTGTCCAAGTGGGCATCAGCGACCCGCAGCAACTGGAAAAGGTAGCCATCCTGTCGTCCTTTATTGACCAGGTCTAGAGCTTTCTCAGCCAAGGGCTCAGTAGCATCGCAGCTTGTTGGAGTCACAGGGGAGGAATCCTGCAGTGTGATGGAAAGGAGCAAAAACAGTGCAACTGCGAAGAAGAAAGCCTTCATTTTGTTACAGTGTAAAAACCATCCTGTGTTATGGTGTACCCGGTAGAGAATTTTATACAGACTTTCTAAAGCACACTCACAATCACAATTGATGGAACAAATTCTTTATACATTTCTATTGTGTAACTTGGGATGTTCACCTTGAACCCTGGTTAAAATGTCTGTCAACATGTTGTAAATGATTACTGGATCCTGGGATCAGAAAGTTGAGACATGTCACCAGTGAATGGGTGAAACCGTATCTGCACGAATCTAGATATTTCTGGTAGGTAGCAGTTCTAAAGTGTGCTTTTGACCATAAACACTGCCTGCATTAGTTGTGAGGGTTGGGGTTAGAAGTAAAACATCCTCCATCTGCTTGTCTGCCTTAGTCAAAAGGCTCTACCATCAATCTCCTGTGTGGAGAAGAGCATTAAAAGTCCTTATTAGAACACAGCTGCATTATCTAAGGGAGTAGGGGGTAAAACAGTTGACACCATAAAAGGCACAGGTAGAATAGAATTATTAAGAGGCTGTTGCTTTGGAGTCAGATGTGAATTTCAATGCTGTCTGTTATTTCTTACCATGTGGTGCTGGGTAACTATAAACCCTCTCTGATTCCCAATTTCCTCATTTTAAAAAATGGTGATTATGAGTGCATTGGTGAAGGAAATTCTATGGGGACTACACCTGAGGAGGTGGAGGGAAGCAAATATTGTCTAAAAATGAAAAATGATGTAAAAAATAATTAAAAAGTATAAAAAAATGATGATTAATACCTCTTAGCAGGATTGTATAATAATAAATTGAGAAAATATATAAAACAAGCAATCCAATTCTTGACATAGGTTCAGGTGCTGAACAAATGATGCAATTTAGGTTGTTGTTAGAGTGCCTGAGGAGTTGGGGGCACCCTCATGTCATTCCAGTTTCCCATGAAACACAATCCATGCCAGAGAGAATTACTTCATGTGGAAGAGGACAGTGGTGAGGGTAAGAGTCAAGCATTTGATGCCCATCCCAGAGAAGAGGTGAAGAGGAACATACCTCTTGGGGTGGAGCTCAGCATCAGGGGACAGAGTTGGGGATTAAGTGGTTCCTCCACCCTCTCCCCACCAAAGAAACTATTATACCTGTATGCACCCTTTACACCGGCAGAGAACAGCAGCATCAGAAAGAACAAGAGGTGATTAGCCTGGTTTCTTTCCCAATTTCCAATCACACAAACAGCATCTCCCTTCCTCCCTGCTCTTCTCTCTCCTCTCTGTAAGGGTCAGTAGCAATGGTTCCAGACAAGAACCGACCCAGAAGGTTTTAAAAATCCGTATGTTCAGGTTCTGCACCTGCTTCTGAGCAAGTAAGTCAGGATCTCTGGGGGTGGTAGAGATCCAGAATATTGGTAGTTTCAAAACTCCCAAGTGATTCCAATGCACAGTCAAGGTTGAGAACTACTGGGCTCGAGAAACAACCTAAAACTTCTCTGATTCTCAGAGAAACTTCTCAGTCAGAAATGTCACTCTCAGTCTCTGAGGATGATGGACAGAATGAATGAGTTTGAAGAGAGAAGGATGGAGGGAATATGAAAAGTAGACTCACTCCTCAGATTCACAGATTGGTTGAGCCTGTGCTAAAAGTAGAAGAAACACATTCTGAATTGTTTGAGATGGATCTTTAAATATTAGCAACACTTGCTTTTAAATGCCTGAATAGGACCACCAAATATCATTTAGAATGACAAGAAGAGCATGGAGTCTGGCCAAAGTGTTACTAAGGGACTCCAACCCAGGGGACAGAGTAATGGAAACAGAACCTTTATGTTTCCAAGAGTCAAGTTCTTGAGTAAACCCTTCTATGGTTTCTATACTCGCCACACCCGGTGTGGAGTGACTGGGTGAGCCAAGTGCTGGTGGAGGGAAAGGGATGAAATGTGAAAAGCCACCGAGATGAGAATAATCTTTTCCTATATTACTGCTTTGCTGGGACTTAGGGTACTCACAAGAGCCATGCATTCTCTTCCTTTGCTTTATTGAACTCTGAACAGCAACACAGTGCTAGTGATGACAGCCTGGTTACCAGGGTGCTTCAGGGAAGATTTCTCAGGGAGCAGATTGAGGGTGCTGGATCCATGATGGGGAGGAGGGATGAGGCTGAGTAGGACATACGGTCTGTCCTGAGGAACTGTCAGAAGATCTAGGAAAGGACATTTGCCTTGGGAAAGCTTTCTGGACAGTTCTAGACTGGAGAGTGGCCTCAGATATGGAATCTTGGGGGTGGGGGCATAACTTTTCCTGAGAGAGTATTGGGGCAAAATTGGACTAGAATGATCTTCCCTTGCACAATGTTATTCTGGCATTCTGCTTTTGGGGGACCTGCCACAGTATCTGAAAAACCAGTTAACAGAAATTTTAATCTTTAAAGCTTTGCTTTCCATAAAAGAATATGCTCTTTGCAAAAATGTGGAAAATACAAAAAGCATTAAAAAACTTACCTCTAATTTCACTAAATGAGAAAAAACATTAACTATTATATGCTTCTTCATAGACTTTTTAAAATTCAGATACTTGCAATATTATTGGGATAATTCTGTACACACAGGTGTATTTTCCTTTTTTTCAGGAGTTAATAAAAGCAATATAATATCAATATTTTCAATAAGATTTTATTTTCTGTAATTTTAATTATATAATTTTTAGTAATGAGCATAATCCCTGCACAAGGGAAAAGGAAAAACCAGAATTTTACAACATATGTAAGGTAAAAGTGATGTCTCTCTCCCATATGTTATTCTCCCTATGCATTCCCAAAGGAAGAACTTTCAATGATTTCTTATTATGTACAGTTTAAACATTATATTTTCCCTTAAGATTATACCAAGAGGATTTTCCCAAGTCAATAAATATTCTTCAAAAAGATTGTTTGGAAGGATGACATGATATTGTATGTTATATATCTGATATAATATATATGATATTGTTTATAATATATTTATCTTTCTCCTTTTTTTGGCCATGTTTGTGGTTTCCAATTATTTGTTTTTATAAAAATGCTACAGTAAACATCCTTTTAAATTTCTGAATTCTTTCAGAATGACTAAATTAGTGGACAGAATTTTGTAACATTAGCTATTTGTACTAGACATTCTGTTTTAAAAAGAAAAGATTCAGGTTTTTATCAGGTGTTAGATGTCTGTACTTTGTTAATTAATTTTGAAAAAATGGACTTTATTTTTCAGAGCAATTTTAGGGTAAAGCACACTTGAATGGAAGGTACAAAGAGTTCCAATTCACTTCTTGCTTACTTTCCACCCTTCCACCCACCTGTACTGTAAATATCCACATGAGGTAGAAAGAACATTTGTCATGATCAATGAAGCCACACCAACACCTCACTACCACCCAAAGTCCATAGGTCATATTAGTGTCCACTCTTTAGTGTTGCATGTTTTTTAGGTTTGGACAAATATTTAGGGACATGTATCTATCATTATAATGTCCTAAAGAATAGTTTTACTGCCATAACAATCCTCCATACTCTGCTTGTGCCTCCCTCTCTCCTCTCAATTCCCTGGCAACCACTGATACTGTTTCCATATCTTTGCTTTTTCCAGAATGTCATATAGTTGCAATCATCAGTGTATTAATTTCTCTCAGTGATATGCATGTGTGATTCCTCCATAGCTTTTCCTGTCTTGAAGCTCATATTTTTTACTTCTGAATAATATTCCATAGTCAGGATATACTCCAGTTTATTCATCCATTCACTAAGGAAGGACACTTGGTCACTGCAAAGTTCTGGAAATTATGAAAAAAGCTACCATAAACATCTGTGGCAGTTTTTGTGTGGACCTAAATTTGCAACTCATTTGAGTAAATACCGAGGATTGTGACCACTGGACCAGGTGATAAGAGTGTGTTTAGTTTTGCAGAACCTGCCCCACTGTCTTCCAAAGTGACTGTCCTCTTGCTTCCCACCAGCCAGGAACAGTGCTGTTGCTCCATGTCCCCACCTGCCTTGGCTGCTGCCACGTTGTATTCTGGCCTTTCTTTCCTTTTTTTTTTTTTAAATTTTATTTTTATATTCCCCATACAATTGCAACCCCCTTATTTTGACCCCAATCCCTCCCCTCCCGCCCCTTACCCCCCATAAAGTGTCTCTGGTTCATAGTTTTTTGTTGATTTTCATTTTCACTTTCTTATAGTTATTCATTTTCCTGGTCCCTTATTTAAGTTTTCTAGATTCCTGCTATGAGTGAGACCATCCGGTATTTTTCTTTTTCTTTCTGGCTTATTTCGCTGAGCATGATCCCTTCCAGCGCCATCCATGTTGCTGCAAGTTGCATGTGTTTATCTTTTTTGAATGCTGAGTAATCTTCCATGGTGTATGTGGACCACATCATCTTGATCCAGTCATCTATTTTTGGGCGCATTTGGGTTGTTTCCAAAGCTTAGCAATTGTAAACAGTGCTGCTATAAACATAGGGGTGCAGGTGTTCTTTGGAATTGATGTTTCTGTGTCCTTTGGGTAAATACCTAGGAGTGGAATTGCTGGATCATATGGAAGCTCTATGTTTAGTAGGTCCAGAAATCTCCACACAGCTCTCCATAGTGGTTGGACCAGTTTGCACTCCCACCAACAGTGCAGGAGAGTTCCTTTTTCTCCACATCCTCGCCAACATTTGTTGTTGCTAGTTTTTTTAATATGTGCCATTCTCACTGGTGTAAGATGGTATCTCATGGTAGTTTTGATTTGCATTTCCCTGATTACAAGTGATATTGAACATTTTTTCATATGCCTGTTGGCCATTTGCATTTCCTTGGTGATGTGTCTGTAAAGATGTCTTTGACGTGATATTCACATCAAAGACATCTTTACAGACACATCACCCAAAGCAGTGATAGTGAAGGCAAAGATAAACAGCTGGGACTACATCAAATTAAAGAGCTTCTGCACAGCAAAAGAGACAATAACAAAAACAAAGAGAAACCCCACCAACTGGGAGAACATTTTTGCACACAACACTA